GCGCTGTCCAGGACCCTTTTTTAAATTTATTTTTTTTAACATCCCCGCGCACCGCCGCCGCTGCTCCGTAAGCCGCACACTTTGGCTTCTTCAGACCCCGGTGCCGCTTCCTCCGATCCCGCCGCGGGACACCGCGAAGAGACGGTCCCTGCGCTCGCGCGCGTCCGCGCCCGTCCAAGTAGGACTGCGCACGTTAGACGGATTAGGAGAGGAGGGGGGAGAAGTTGGTCACCTGCCAGCCAGAGTGGACCGACACCACGGTGCGAGCCGACTCCCAGTGCCGTTCACCGGGCGATGCCAGAGTAAATGCCGGGGCCATGTCCCGCCGCAAGCAGGTGAACCCGCAGCACTTCTCGTTGACGCGCAGGGAGACAGCACGCGGTGAGTTAAATAACCCGAAAGACTCACTCACTCCACGTCAAGTGCACTTATTCTATGTACCATGTGCATTTATTGATTTGATTTGATTTATTTGACTTAGATCCGTGGATGTTTTTAAGCCGGTGGAAATGTGCCGGACAGGGCAGCTAATCACAGACAATAACTTCAGTCGCCTTTTTTTGTGCCATGTGAAATATTATTAAATATTAAAGTGGATTTGAACACTTGTTATAATGCACATTTGCAACTAGCAAAAACAATTCAGTGATATATTTGAATGCGCCTGTTGCAGCTTTATGCAACCGAAAGATTTGAGCACATCTTCGGTGGGACTGGCAGGTTACGTGCCTGCGTGTGTGCACGTCTGCGTGTGCACGCACGGAGCAGCGCAATTCAATTTAGATTTTTCTTCCTGCAACATGTGGCAACGTGCACATTTATGCGCTTTGTTCAACATTATTTGGAGACTGCACGGGGTGTCTGGATTTAAATGTGTTTGAATTTAAAATATCTATTTCTATTCCACACACACACACACACACACGCACATGCACGCACGCACACACACACACACGCACATGCACGCACACACACACACACACACACACACACACACACACACATGCAGTCATTAATTATAAAAATGTTGACACTCAAAGGCCTTTCTGCACTTTAAAGTACCTTTTAAAAGCTTAATACACAACAGAAGTGTGTAAAGAATTATGTTCAGTTTGCAATCTGACCAATAATATAAACGCAACACAAACTCTGAACTTTTCCACAATATTTAACAAACAAAGAGTTATGACTTTGATTGAAGATTTCCAGAGCTAAGACCAAAGTTTTGATCGTGCATATTTAATCTGAGTAAGTATGTTTTTGCTTATTTGTGGCATATCATTAAAAAGTTGCTTAATCCAATTTAAATTCCATTACACCAATCTAACCTTCATCTCCCGGCGCTCTGCTTTGTCTGAATCTAATTTCATCGAGGCCTAATCTGGGTAATTCATAGCAGAAGTTCATCGTGTAATCTCCGCTCAATCTGTGTGTGTGTAGGAAAGGTTCTGACAAATTCTGTCCCAGCCGACACATTTAGCATTTAGACCAATCATTTCCTCCATTCATGTTCTGTCTGTCTGTCTGTCTCTCTCCCTCTCTCTAAATCTCGATATTTGCTATTTTGTTTTTTGGTTGAGAAAGGACGGCGCATCCTCGCCGGATTAAAGGCGGAGATCAAATTCTGATCCAGCTTGAATATTTATCTCGATCACAATCATTTAATTAAGGCGTAGGCCAACTTGTTACTCCTCAATACGTTTAAGAGTGTGCAACGTTTCACCGTCGGCATGTGTGTCTTTGTTCAACATTTACCTGCGTGCATTATGATAAATAATTGACAGTTTCATTTGTTTTTAGGGAAATGGCAAACATTTCGACCACTGTCAAATATTTGATTATCCTCCTTCCAGTCACTTTGTTTGACATCTTCTTTTTTTTTTTTTTTTTTTTTTACATATTTGTGAACCTCACAGCACCTGCAGTAAGCAAATAGTCCAAACTGAACGGCTGCTGATAATTAATGTCACACATTGAGTTTTAAATTTTTTTAAATGTCCGTGTTTGGCTCAAAGTGTCTGCAGAGATGCATCTGTTCTTGCCTAAAGTTTTTTTTTTTTGAATTTAGAATCAGTGCTGAGCTGTCAGGGGAGATTTAACTACGTCTTATATTCACATGCTGCCAAATGTTTGATGTTGTGCTCAGTCGACGCTGTCGGCTCTCGGAGCAGAAGCAGCAGGATGCTGAATCTCGCCCTACCTGTTCTCTCTCATGGTACACACCGTCCCGCTCAACTGTGGCCTCAACGGCTGCACCATTAGGGAAGCGCTGGACTTTTTCCTGTCTTTCTTTTTGGAGATCAATGCAATGCCGAAACCCGGACTTTAAACAGATCAGCAAACAACGAATAAGCAATCGCCCTCCTTTGTCTTTTTTCTATCCGATTGTTGTCTCTCCACGAGAACAACGTGTTCTCAAATTGAGTGTGTGTGTGTGCACAGATGCACCTGTATTTCCATATAACGCCATAGCCACATTGTTACCACACCTACGTCTTAATGCTGACACCACGTCTCCGTCTATGATGGAAGGAATCACTGAATGGGGAGGCTGGCTGGGTCTGGAGAGGGCCAGGATCTCACCTTACAACTGTCATTTGATAAAGTCAACGCGTACCGATAGCCTTGCACATGCACACCGAGCATCAGAGAACGTTGACTATGGAGAATGGACCTCATGGTTAATGTCTCCGACATGACCCCCCGTCCCTATAGGTTGTGTAACACGTCAGTGTCAGCTGCAGCGACCTGCCACACACGTCCTTATACCGTTAATAACGAGGGGATGATTCACTGTAACTGAACACGGCCTCGTCCCCTGCAGCCATGAGCTTGTGCGGAGAACCTGAATTTCTGCATATCTCTCGGAAGGCTTTTTTGTTGAAGATCTACTTGCCGGGGCAGATGTAAAGAGGGACGTGTCGTGTTTAGTATCACAGGCCCCCCCCCCCTTTGTTCAGAGACTGGGATTCCTCTAATCATCACAGGGATCTCGGGGTCCGGCCGTGGAAACGCCCCACAATAACCGTTTACTCGGAGTGCACGCTACTTGTGGTGCAGTGAATGTTTTTGCTTTTATTCGTGCCATATGGCTGTCACACGCTGGGGGGGGGGGAGAACCCCCCCGTACGCACTGCAACGCAACACTAAATATTCACACACATTGTGGTAACCCGGAGGGAATCTCACCGGAGGGGATTGGTGGGTGACGAAAGATATATCGTGAGGCGGGTGCCGGTTGTTCTCAGGTATTTTTCCATCTGTCAGTATCATCGAAAAACGTTCAAACTATTTAGCGGCCGCTCCTTTTTTATACCGATTATTATTGTGTCTTAAAATAGTTTTGCAGATTTAATTCTCATCCTCAGAGGTCACAGCTCGCAAGTCATTTGTCGCGATGTAGTGACGAGTCACAGTTTGCCGCACGGCCGTTTTGCTCACTTTCACACCGAAAATCTAAGATTTATGATCAAAAAACGAGAGTGCTGCAGAGTAAATGATGATAAGATAATAAAACGCAATGCACACTGTTGCAGCTTTCATCGGCGCCGGAGCAGAGGAAAAAAAAAGGATAAGCTAAGCGAGGACGCTTGTTGTTTGAATTTTTGATTGTAGCCATCTGCAACGTTGCTGGTGTCATTTATTTATTAAGAAGCGAGGAGTATTCTTTCCCGCTTTCAGTGGTTTCCGTGTGTGCGCTTTGTTGTGTGTGTGTCCCCTTTTTTGTTCGTTTGGGTGTTCGTTGTTTTCCGGGGCCACCCCCTTTTCCCGCCCCGCAAAAAAAAAGGGTAAACAAAAAAGATTTTTCCTTCTCCAAACCCCTTGGGTGTGGGGGGCCCTTAATTTGCCCCCCCCCCCCCCCCCCACACTCCCCCCCCCCCCGGCCTTCTTCCGCCTTCACCGGCACGACATTTTGTGCTGCTTGTAATAAAATGTCGTCGACTGAAAACAGTTTCACGGTTTCTGTTTAAAGCCGCCATGAAGTAATATCATCAAATTCACATCAGAAACAATAATAAATATTTCAGACCCCCCCCCATAAAATACATTTTCTCATTGTTCTTATTCAAATTCCTCTGGCAACATTTGAAACACATTTGTAACAGCATCTGAGAACAAACAAAAATAATTAAGAATAAGTGAGATCAATAAGTCAAGAGACATGCGAGGATCTTCATAATATGTGGATTCACCGGCTCTCTATGTGCATCCTTTTCTATACATATATATACTATACATTTCTATACATGTGCAGACCCACGAACCAACCGTAAGGCCCAAACAATTCAAAGTTTGCACTTTAAAAATGGTTTAGAAATAACTCCTCCCCTCTGACAACACAATAACTTCATTAAGCACTTTCTTGGCCGGACGTTTTTTAATTATTTTTCTTAAACTTAAACACAAGAGGAAATGTTGGTGAAAGAGGCCCATTGTTTTCGGCTGTGTGTCCCATCTGGTCCCCATTGTGCGGCGGCGCTGACTCCCCCCCATCCAGCTGATAGGGGGTGCTCTAACGCTGCCTGACTACTCGCACCAGAGACTGTCTCTGGGTTACTACAGCTCTCTGTGTGTGTGTGTGTGTGTGTGTGTGTGCGTTGTGTGATGCTGCACATCGGGCCTTGTTTGGCTCTCTTACCTGTCCAGCATGTGTTCACAGGGCCGTTTGTGCACACAGGGTGAGACATTGTCCATCACCACCAGATTAGTGTGTAATTCTTCTCGCATGTACGTTTTCTCGTTTCAGTGGGTTTTTTTTTTTTTTGTCCACGGTTGTTGTTTTTCCGAAGTTCAGTTCCTTCTTGCACCTGTTTTTTTTTATTTTTTTTACCTTTTCTCTCTCAGGTGAGCCTCGGGGATAAACGAGCGAGCGGGTTTCAGGGAGGGGTGCGGTTTTTTAGAAGGTTTTCCGACTGTTATTCCAGCGGCACGATGACAGTGCCAACGCCTATTAATTCACCGCCTTCCGCTCCGAGCCGTGTCACTCAGCCACATGTTAGCAAACAGGCTCCCTCGTCTCTCGTCTCCCGCGGCGACCAAGTCGAGTCCAACTGTCCTCTCGTGGGCTCGCTGTTGTTCCCCAGCTCGAAATTAGAACACGAGACAAACCTGTCAGAAAGGCGAGCGCCACGTCGTCCGCAGACGTCTCCCGCAAATACTGACTTACACGCAAGCATGCATGCATGTTCCTCGGCTTGTGACTCTTGAACGCTGCTTCATGTGAATCATGGTGGCGAGCTGTGAACTGGAGGTAAATACGTGTTTGTGTTTCTTCTTTGCCGCCAAAGATTATGAGATGGAAATGATTTGGCGGCCATCCAGGAACCCATCTCCATTTAGAGAAAATATATTTGGCAGCGGATAATAACTCCGGGGCAGTGAGGGGACCGGAACGTGTGTGTGTGTGCGTGTGTGTGGGGGGGTGGTTGATTCATATAGGTGCAAATATACATTTGAAATATGACATTTTGGGGGGGGGGGGGGGGGAAATGTGTTTAATATTTAGCCGTATCTCTGCGCCGAGTTTAACGGCTGTGACTTCAGAGGCCTCCTTGGCAGTTAGAGACGGGGTGGATAAGGGACACCGAGACACCGGCACACGCTCACCAGCACGCACAATCTTTGTCTAATCTTTGCAATTATTAGGGTGTCGTGTTTGGAGAAAGAGAAAAGGGGAGGATGGGGGGGGGGGATGCATGTGCTAGAAGTGGAGGAGCAGCACAGACAGGCACGCAAAGCTATGTTCCCCTCCCAGGCAAACGGCACCTCCTCCTGGGTACCCGCTCCTTCAGGCGGCCTCACAGTCTCTGGAGCTTCAGGTTCCCTCTGGGCTTCTTAGAAGAAGACACAATTTCATACTGCTGTGCTGGGGCAGTGTTTAAAAAAAAACAGAGGTCCGTCCATGAGGGATTTAAGTTAAAAATGGAAATGCTGCACGTGACACAAATGTAAAGAAGGAGTTTACTCTCTCAACAGGACTTTTTCTGTGTGCGGGGAACACGGCGCTGCAGCTCACCTGTGCGCCGCTGCGTGCACGCGCACTGCAACATGTTACTGTTCATATCGCTTTCTCGGTTTTTCTTTTTTCCATCTTATTCTGTGATCACAAAGAAATACATGCACACACACACACACGAGCGCGCACACACGCACCAACAAAAACACACACATGCTCCCCACGTCGCTCTGCACGAGCTGCGGCTCCCACGTGGTGAAGGCATCTGTCTACCTGTGACAGCTCGGTGCAGCAAAGGCCCTCACCGGAAACCCAGCCTGCACATCGAGATCAATACGCTTCCTGGCCACACACACACACACACGCGCACACACACACACGCACGCGCACGCACACCAAATTTGCATTTAGTGTATGTGCTGGATTCCACCCACGCAGATCTCTCCTGGATAAGCCGCGCAGGTGTTCGTCAAGGCGCAGCGGCTTTTTTTGTGCCCGTGAAAGTGACACAGTTGTGTGTGATCGTTTAATTCAGCAGGAAGAGGGTTTTCATCAGGAATAACAAAAGCCTGCTGTGAAGTTTGTCTCCGTCTGCTTCTCACTCGATTTAACCCTCGAAAATAACTGATTTAAACCTTTCTCTCCTCTGCAGCAGAGGCCAGCTATGATTCGGGGCCGGTGTCTTCGTCTCCGGAGCTGTCCACCCCCAGCCCTCGGAGGCCGGGCCCCAGGGAGCACGACATGCTGACCTGCGGCCAGTGCCAGACAAACTTCCCTCTGGGCGACATCCTGGTTTTCATAGACCACAAGCGACGTCTATGCCGGGGGACTCGAAGCGGACCGGAGTCCTTCTCCAAACCCGGGGAGACTGGCGGCGTCCCCGGCGTTCCCATCTCTCCCAGGGTGGCATCTCTGGAGCTGGGCAGAGGGTCCACTCCGGTGGAGGTGGGCATCCAGGTGACCCCCGGCAGAGAAGAGGCTCTGGAGAGGAGCCTGACCCCGGCCAGAGGGATCTGCCCCAAACAGGAAAGAGGAGGTACGGAGACACGCCGTCCACCTTCTAAGCTTTGCACAGGGCAGTACAGATGTGCAGCTTAAATACACACACGCACACACACACACACACACACATGCATCACCTGTCCAGGAGAGATAGATCTCTTTAAAGAGAGCTGCTTGTTATTTTGACAGTGGCCTTCAGGAGGGATTCATGTAGCCTGGGATGATTTCATTAGAGCGAATGAGAGTCGTGCTGTATTTCTATTGCGCTGCCACACACACACACACACACACACACACACACACACACACACACACACACACACACCAGACTAACCAGCAGGCCTGAAGAAGTTATTCATCTGAAAGCAATAGTAAAAGGCGAAGAAGAAGGTGATAGAGGAGCCACCCTGAGTGTGTGTGTGTGTGTGTGTGTGTTTGTGTCTTATTTTTTGCTGCTGTGAGTGCACATCAGGATTTGTAAAGAAATCCTGCAGCATATAAAAAAAAAGGTTAAGAAAGCTGATTAAAATTCATCTGGGTGCGTGGCGAGGAGAAGGGGATTAATAAGGCCCCAAGCCCTCTCTTTAGTTATGGGGGGGCTGGGAGGGGGGGGGGGGGGGGTCTGTAGACTGCCAGCGCTGCAGGGAAACCAGTTCAAAGTCATCACAGGAGACAGTCGCCGTCGCACCCCTGAGCCGGCGAAGCTATCCGGGATTACACAGACTCCGGGAGGCTAAGAGGGACGTGGTTAAAGGAGGGACGCGGCCAGGAGGACGCGTGACATGAACACTGGAACGGGTCCCCTGGAGGTCTTAAACCACCATGAAGAGACTCAAATAGCAAAGGACATGGACCCTTATGCTGTTACACGTATGTGCATTCTAGTCCTAAATGCTCCATCGTTGTTTTTGTATTGTTGGAGATACAAATCTAAGACATTCTAATTATTTATAAAAAGGGCTTTTAAGTCTTATTCTGTATGTCACACACATTCAGGTTTCGCTGATGAGTGTGCTGTTAAAACGATCCCCTTAAATGTCCAACGTGTCTGGGACACAGGACATCGAGGACGTGCACGTTTAGTTGAATCACAGCTGGTGTGGACACGTTCTCGCCGCGTGCACGGCGTCTCCTGCAGCGGGAAACATCCATCGCAGGTGATCAGGAGCAACGTGTGACGACACAAAACTAAAAAGTAATTTCCCTTAATCAGAACGAAAGTTATCACATTTTTCAGTAATACTTTGTACTTTTTATGACGCCTGAGGGTCCTTTTGCACGCGGAGTCCTTGTGTCGTACAAAAAAAAAAAAAAAATCATTGAACTCGTTTAAAAGCTCAATCTCGGTTTATATGGCGGGTTTGTCTGTTGGGTGGTCAGAGGAGAAACAATAGAGCGCGTGTGTCGGCCAGCTGTTTGCACAGACACACATTCTTATCGCTAAGAAAACAGAACATGAAACACTCCAAGGAACAAATGAAAGAGAGGAGGGAGCTTTGTTCTACACATTAGATTTCCACTCAAGGCACTCTCAAGTTTCAACCGAATTAGGCCTCATTAAGTCCAACGTGTTGGCAGCGCACACTAACACCCTCACACACACACACACACACACACACACACATATGGAAAAATCCTCACATTTGCCTGCAGTTGGTATTGAGAACTTTGCAGCCAGAACGTACACACTTATTCGCAACATGAGACATAAAAGAAAGCTGCACGCACACACGCACACACACACATATACATACTTGGCATGAAATGCTTGAGCCGTGTGCAGAACCCATAACCATCTCCTCCGCGGGATTCGGTTTTTATTTCTGTTTCACCTGTTTGTGTTTTAGAACTTCCTGTCATGCCGCTGCACGGCTACACAGAGTCAACCCTAAAGAGACGCACACAAACACCCGGACGCACACACTCCCCCATGCTGTGTAGATGAAACACGGCCCCTTTCTGTGCACAATTATATTTTCTGCAGTTTCTCTTGCCGATGCATAAACGTTACGTGCATGTGTGTGTGTGTGCACGTGTGGGCTCAGTCAGAGTGTTTTAATGTGTGTGTCTGTGAACAATGAGGCGTGTCACCAGGGAGAGCGAGATGTTGTCACTAGGGGAGCGTTACCCACGCTAAAGGCGACCCTGGCCCCGCTCTGAACCGCTCCCAGGACGGCTGCCGCCCCCCCGGAGCACTTTAAGACATCCAGTACAGGACAAAGTCACATCACGACAAGGTCTCTCTCTCTCTCTCTCTCTCCCTCCCTCGGTTTCCTCGCTTCCTTTCTCCCCCTCAAACACTGTGTGTATAGATGACGTGGTAAATGTTTCATGAGACAACGGCGACATCATCCCCATCGCTCGCCCTCCCTCTCTCTCTCCATCCACCTCCGACACCCTCTGGGGGGCAAATGAGCATATTAGGCCGAAGATTCTGCATGGCTTTGTTTTCGTTTTCTGGGAAAACACTTACATGCATGACTTATATAATCAGAGGAACCAAAGGAGATGCCGGCCACTTTAAAACCGTCACACAGACACGCCAAGATTCTCTCACAGATTCTGTGTAAAGGAAGGCAGGTGTTTTCACGCGATAACATCAGTTGTTTTTACTCGAGGCAGTCGACAACGAGGGATTCTTTACACCAGGAATGACTGAATGATGCTTTCTGTAGAGGAGCCTGAAGAATGTGACGTTACTGGTGGAACCTCAAATGTTCAACACTTATTTAAATCATTCCAGTTTCCTCCACTGGTACGGATTTGATGTCTGGGTCCCGTCCTCTCTTCGTCCCTCTCTGTCTCTCCCCCTGTCTGTCTTTTTTTTTTTTTTCTCCTTCTTTTTGCCCCCCACCACCCGATGCTCCTTTAATCACCTGGCTTGCTCTCATTTCCATATTAAATAGGCTATAATCATGAAAAGCAATCAGGCCTCTGCATATTCATACCTTCCCCTGCACGCCGGCTTCCGCGTCGCGCTCCAGTGCCGAGCAGCCAGCAATCAGCGAGGCAGGCGGCGTAAAACCTCCGGCCCGTGGAATGAAAACACACACACACACACACACACACACACACTGGGTGAGTTAGACATAGCTTCACATGCTACCTGTGCATTATCGCCACTACCAAGAGAGAGATTTAAAAAAAAAAAAAAGAAAGAGAGAAAGATGGCGATACCGATCCCTGATTTGAGCTGCGAGTGCATGTGCAGCGACTCAAGGAAAGGTCGATTTGCATAATGACTTTGTAGTTTTGCATTAATCACATTTGCATATGAAAATGCGTTAATTACTCCTGATGATTTAAAAAAAAAAAAAAAAAAGAGGCTTGCTTCATTTGATGTCCAAGCTCTGGGGTTGTGATTAGGGGTTACATGGTGCCAGTCGTGTAAGTGATGTGCACGTGTGCGTGTGTCTCTCATGGGTTTGTGCGGCTGGTGTCTTTGCGTGTCAGCGTTTTGAACGCTTGCCAGGAAACGTAGGTTGTGTCCGCTGTCAGGCATTTGTCTTTCTTTTTCATTTGCGTTTCCTCATTCTCCTGAGGCGGACACTCACCGGTGTGAATACTCAACCTTTACAATGAAAGGGACGTCTACTGTGTGTACATACTGTGGATATCTGCTTTTCATGTGTGTATTTTTTCAAATGTCAAGCTGCGTGGAAAAGACTACGAGAAAGAGAGAGAGGGAAAATATAGAGTGATATTAGATGTATTTTAAAGACAATTTAATTTTGTAACATTTTGGATAGAAACAATTCCCAAATTTCAATCCTTACAAATGCAGAAACCTGCAGAAACACGGAGCCTTTTTCCATGTCTCCCAGCATCTACGAGAACTTGGGTTCACATACGGACCTGTGTGTGTGTGTGTGTGTGTGTGTGTGTGTGTGTGAAATTACAGTATACGCGTTCCTTCCTGTGTACGGGCCCCTAGAGTTGTTGGCCCATAACACTGCGCCTCAGACGGGACCACCCTGGGGCCCGTCTGAGTGTCTGTCTGCTCCGTGCAGCAGGGTCAACTGGGTCTAAAAGGACCGCTGGAACATGCTGCACATGCAAAATGCCACCTGACCGACACACACACACACACACACACACACACACGCACAGAAACTAAACATACATGCAACACACAAACAGATAAGAGCCACACACACACACACACGAAACACGTGTTCATGCCTGAATGCCCACAATGGCTCCCATCTCCCATCGAGGCCTGCAGACACATGCACACAGACACGCGCACACGCACACACACACAGCGTAAAGGCTCCCACATGAAGGCATCAAACGCTCCGCAGTCAGCTTTATGGTACTCATATGGCAGCAGATTTAATATTTTCCTACCACAGCGGGGGGAATAAAACTCGCCACTAATTTGGACTGCGAGCGCCACCGCTAACTTTCAGCATGTGCCGGCGGACTGTGTGTCCCAGATGTGTGGAATCTTTGCTCCTTAACAGCCTTAACTTAAGAGGCATTAGAAGCCTCGCACCCCGGCCCCGCGTGCGCTGTTGGTTTTCCGACACAAACGCGCTGCTTTGTGTTGCGAGTGCTGATGTGAACTTCGTGGTCTCGCTGCTACGGACCATAAGTTGCGTCGTGTCAGTGAGAATCTGTGCATGTGTTTATGCTCTGCGCATGAATAGCTATAATCACGGCAATCTGACTGCTACACTGCAGTTATTCCCGTTTCCCCCCCTACTTCTCCCCTCCGCCCGTGACATTTGATAACTGGTGTGCTGTCATCAGCGCTGAATAATGTCGTGCATTTAATCAAGAACTTACTTGGTGGAAGGAATCCGATGCGCACGCATGTTGCATGTACACTTTTTGAAATGTGCACAAAAGCCCCAAATGACACAAACCTGCTGAGCAACGTGTGCACCTTTCTGCCGCTGTGGAACGCTCCTTGATGAGGCCTTTGTGATGGACGTGCAGATAAAGCGGACGTGTGCTCAGCTATTACGGCTGCTGTTGTTAGTGCAGAATTTTCTGACCCGCTCGTTTCTATTGAAGAGTAGTGTGCGT